CTATGGTGCACGGAGGAAGTTGTCGCTGACTACATCCTCTGCATTGTCCTACCGCAGAGCTTCCACTCTTAGTTCCATGGCAATTCTACAAACCTTTTTAGCCTCTTTGCTCTATGAGCTCCCTGCCTAGAATAAGATAAGTGCGCCACATTAGAAGCAAGCTTATGTGGTTGAGTCTAAGCTTTGTTGAAAACAAGGTTGTTACGACTACGCCATATGCACCAATAAAAGGTAGGGAGGAACACTTTCCCAAGAGTTTTGAGTCTACCATTAGGTAGGAAACATCCATTTGATGCAAGTAGGGTGTCAAAGTCATTGGCCCATTGCACTAAGTGGAAGCATGGGAGAAAGAGAGTCCATGCTGCTTAGGTGAATGAGCAAGAAAAGAAAAGATGACTGTCTGATTCTGGCTCCAGATTACAAAAGGAGCATTTTATGTCACCTGTCCATCTCTTGTTTGACAAATGTTTTTTTAGTTTGGAGTCTCCTATTCGCGAGGACCCAAAAAAAAAAGGATTTTAATCTTATTGGGAGTGATAGAATTCCAAGTGAAAGAGTATGAGCTAGAGAAGCATCCACCATAGTTTCTCAAAGAATAATGAGATATAACTGCGAATGTTCCTATAATGAGCAGGGGCCACCATATTCTGTCTTGATTATTGTATTCGGATTTATTGCTAGACTCAAGGAGGATATACAAAGCATTGATCTCTTCCCTTTTGGCTAGGGAGGATCCTCTTCTAAGCAGAGGATGCCACGTCCAAGTGTTGTTGTGATAATAACCTTGGGAACGAACATTAACATTATCTGAGAAAGCCAGATGATAAGTTTTAGGAAATAGGCCGCACAATGAGTTGTGACTAATCCACTTATCCTCCCAAAAGGGAATAGTTATCCCATCACCTAACTTCCGTTGCACTAGACTGATAAAAGCATATTGAATAGAATGCAAATCATAAAAAAAAAACTTAGAGGTTGTTCCCTTAGGAGATGTGCACAGAGGGTTGAATTGATGTTTGGACTGAGAGAATTGAAGACATGACTGATAATGGAGTTATAGTCAAAGATTTTCTATAAACATTTGGAGAGAAGAGCTTGATTGAAGATAGAAAGATTATGGACACCAAGTTACCCTTCCTTCTTGGATTTACAAACTTGTTCCCATCTAACTAAGCAATTAGATCTGGAATTATGCTAATTACAACCTCATAAGAAATTTTTTCTAATCCTATCAATTGCCTTGGTGAGCCAAACTGGTAATTTAAAAAATAACATATAATACAGAGGGAGAGAGAATAGAACGGAATTCAAGAGAGTTAATTTGTCACATATTGATAGAGCTCTGCTTTTCCACATAAATAGTTTCTTGGTAAAGGATTCTAACAAAGCCTGCCAGTTACGCCTAGAGAGAGAGCCTTTCTTGAGGGGGAGGCCAAGGTTACGAAAAGGGAGAGCACCAGGAGAGCAATTGAGGACACTGGCAAGGTAATTCTCATTGAGAGGGAGTTTCCCTAGGTAGAAGAGGTCAGTTTTAGTGTAGTTTATGCTGAGACCGGAGATGTTTTCAAAGATGTATAAGATGGTTTTGAGGATTGAGAGATCATCTTTATTAGCTCTGCTAAAAAGAAGGTGTCGCATGCTAATTGTAGAGTTCTAATATATTAAGATCACCTTTAAGGTTAACATCAGGAATGTCCCCCAAAGAAGCATTGTTATTTAGCATTTTGTTTAGGACATCAACAACAAGCAAAAACAGCAATGGGGAGAGAGTGTCCCCTTGTTTCAAGCCATGGTAACAGTAGATAGAATTGGTCGGGGTCCATTTAACTAACATAGAGAATTTTGAGGAGGAAAGGACATGCTCAATCCTGTGACACCATTTAGGGCCGAAGCCTCTCGCCTTAAGGAGGGAGAGAACAAAGTCCAACCTAACACAGTTAAAAGCTTTCATGTAGTCTATCTTGATGACACAAATTTCCTTCTTGCCAGAGGAGCAGTGATGAATTATCTAACGAGTTAGAAGAATGGAATTTAAGTTAGACTTGCCTCCATAGAAAGCAGCTTGAGTCTCCTCAATAACGGAAGATAGGATAGAGTTGAGTCTATTTGCTAAGACTTCCGTAAAAATTTTCAAAATACTGTTTAGCAGACTAATTAGTCTAAAGCCTTTGAGATTGCAGGCCCTCTACGCCCGTCTTAGGAATCAGGGTAATAAAGGAGTAATTGATCCTGTAGAGAGAGTAGCTAGACATCATAGAATAGGGATTGGAAAAAAAAAAGATGTGGTTTCTAGCCCTATACTTGACAATGAATAACTAGCATATCTATAGATCGGAGGGAAAATAATAATATATTTTGTCTACACAATGAATAATCAAAGTACTAAGAGGTAAGTTTTAGTTTTAGTTTTAGTTTTAATGTAATTCATTGTGCAGGAAATTGAAGAAGAGTTAAGATGGGTGGAGACAAACCTCTAAGATGAGAGCTGAGAAGTCAAAAGTCCTCAGCGGTGAAGCATCACCGAGAGAGATTGCAAATTTGGGGATGAAAACTTTCTACGATTTCAAAATGGAAGAAGGGTTGAGGAAAAGTTTAAAAAGTTTAATAACCGACTTAATTAAGGATACGCATTGGGTTTTTTATAGTCGGGTAAATTTCAAAAAAACGCCTTAAGTTTGGGACTTTCTCGAATAAACCTCCTTCACTTTCAAAATTTCACAAAACCCTTTTTTAAGTTTTGGGGTTAGAAAACGAATTTAACTTTTAGCATTTCCAAAACTAGTTTAAAGTGAAGGAAGTAAGGTAGAATTAGGATTCGAATATAGGAAATTTTTGCAGGATCGAGGTGGTTAGTCATGTAAAACTTAAAACTAGAACTAGAATAATTTGTGGAATAAAAATTTTATGGTGTTAGTCACTTAGACTAGAATTAGGATAATTTTTTTGGTATTAACCAACTAGAACTATAATAAACTAGAACTAAGATAATTGTAAAAAATTATCTTGCTTTTATCAAATCTTTATACAAAAAAGAAAGTTCTAATCTCTCAATAATCTCAAGTTTTAGCCTAGAACTAGGTGGGTTAAAAACTAGAATTCTCCTATTCTTTTTTCTTATTTTTTTCACATTTCTTTTCTTTTCTACATCCTCTCTTATTCTAAAGTTCACTCTCGCCATCGAACTATACCATCAAAATGGACAGACTCTCCTCTTACTCCTCTTTGATATGCTATTTTCTTTATTACTAATTTATGTAATTAATTTAAAGTGAAAAAACAAAATATCCATAATTTTTATTAAAAAAACTATTGAAATTGAGAGAAAGATAAGTGGGTGTAAGAATAAATGAGAAAAACTTTAATCTTCTTGGACTTGTACTGTAATAATAATAATAATAATTCAAAAAATTAGAAAAGTTACAAGCTACTATTATGATAATTACTAATATCTTGTGGTCTAACAACTATAATTAACATAATAGGAAACAGTTAATAATACATATATAAATAGTCATATCATTAAGATGCATATTATATACTTATTGATTAACACAAACTACCCCCCACGCTATTTTATCAAAATATCTCACTTGAATACATTGATCCCACACTTTCAAAAAGAAGAAATTTTCAAAATCGCCTCAACGGAATTTTTTTTATAAAGAAATCGACCCAATTCACTTTTAATTATAGAAATCGACCCATTTTGAGTTAATTACGGTACTAATTAGTCGGGGTTGCCAACCCCGACTAATTAGTAGCCTAATTAGCAGCCGCAAACCTTTCCCGCTACTTGACTCCGCTTGTAATTAGGCTACTAATTAGTGAGGGTTGGCCACCCTGACTAATTAGTACCGTAATTAACTTAAAGTGGGTCGATTTCTATTATTAAAAGTGAATAAGGTCTATTTCTTTAAAAAAAAATTGTTAAGGCGATTTTGAAAATTTCTTCCTTTTAAAAAATTACTCCGCGTGAACAATTATCCCACTTCTTATTAAAATGCTCCAATTGACCGACACCCAAAAATTTTGATATCAATTAGTGAAGTTTTAAAACGAAATTAATGATGAATTAGTGGTTGTGTATATGAAGAAGATTTCAAGTACCATAAGGATTCTTAATAAGAAATGTCAAAGCCCTACAAAAAACAATAGATGGATCGATCAACATTAATTCTGGACCTAGTAAGGAGTCATTGCATGAGAATGTAATAACTTCTTTTTCTGGTTCTAAGGATCATGTTATTAGTTCATCTAATCAGGAAGCACAATCTGTTGAGAAACATGCACAGAATAAAAAACATGCACATGAAGATTCTACACAGACAAGGAGGGACTGGGAGAGCAATTTTGGTTTAAGTGAAAGGGGTATCATCCCTATCTCTAATCAGTATATGCAAGTGAATGATCATGCCCTATATCAGCAAAATTTCTCATCCCCAAAAGCATCTGGCTTCCAACTGATCAGTCCAACTGTTAATGCATCAGGGTTTACAAATGTGAACAGAAACAACATAGCAAGGAGAGTTAATATAACTGCACCAGTTACTTCAGGTACTCTGTCATCTCTTTTCTCTTCCCTAGAGCAGCTAATTTTTGATCCATCCTGTGCAGACAGAGGTGGGAAATCTCATTGATGCATCTTGCTATCTGGAACATTAGAGGATTTAATAAATCCTCTAAACATACAATAGTCAAACATTTTATTCAGGAATATAATCTCTCTTTATTAGCTCTTTTGGAAACTAAGCTCTCTGAAAATAAACTGCAAAGTCTAGCAAACAAAATTACCAAAAGCTGGAAATGGGTCTCAAATGTGCAAGAAGCACTATCACATAATTGATCTATTATAACGGTTAAGGCGCAACGGTTCTAACTGTTGCGTTAGATATCTATCGTAACGGTTTATAATGGCTAATACAACATTAAATAAAAAATGTTGCCATAGTCCAAATAATTGTTCATGGGCTTAATATTTATTCGTGGTTTTGGGCGTAAAGTTTGTAAAAGCCCACCGCAACCAAATATCTCTCTCTCAAATGCAATCCCTAAAATCGCCTCCAAATTTTTCCGATCCCTAAAATCGCCATGGCCAAAACCTCGTCGGCGTTTTCGGATCGGATCGCATCTCTAAGCTCCTCTCTGATCTGCAATCTCGTTGATTTCGTCGCCGAGCTACTCCCTGGTTTCTAGGGTTTGCCGTTCTCTCAAATCTCCTCTCAGATCTCATCTTCGAGCTACTAATCTCGGCGTCATGCTACTCTCGTTGCCATTCCAGTCTTGTTCGTCGTCGTCAAGCTACTAATCTCGTCGTCAAGGTACCTCAGTTCCTTGCATTTCTGATCTCTACAATTTCTTCCCCCTTTCTATCTTTAAAAATCTCTTCTTCATTTTTTTAGGTGCTGCGGATAACATCGATTGCTGCATTAATCACGATCCATTGCTCTAGCTCGATCCCTGAGGTAAGATTTCTTAACCTAAAAGCTATTTCTTCTCAAAAAAATTGGATTTATTTGTTTTCTATTGGGTAATGACAGAATGTTGGTTGTGATTAGCTACTAGGTTAGGCAAGTGGGTTAATTAAATTGAGGGGATTTGCTTATATCTTGATTTAAGTAACTGTTGGATCACTGTTTTATTAATCTTTAAATTTTTTGATTTTTTGCGGGAAATTTGGGGAAATTGTGGACATGCTTCAATTTATTTTTCATATTATAGATGATTTAAATTTGTAATTTTTCATTTTACTGGTTTAAAAAATGATGTAGGAAGATGGAAAAAGCACCCCAAGACTGTTCCCAAGGGTCAATTTAGAGCTTTACTAAAGATTTGGCATTCTCAAAATGCAAGGGTAAGAATTTAATTTTCTATTAATACCCTATTCTTGTTACTCCAGTAATAGTCCACAAACTCTTCATACTCGGTTACATACATAAATGTATATAGATCTCGTCAACACTTTGCATTTTTGCATGCATTATAAATAATAATCTGAAAGCAAATACCACATATCAACAAAAAAGCAACAGTTGGGTCTTATGGCCAACTACTGTACATCAATACATTACGGAGATAAATTTCCATAATATACTTTACATCTTTTAAGAATAGGCCTTCATGCACCACCACCACCACGAGGTCCACCATTATCGAATCAAACCTACATTTCAACTACACAAGCAATGTGGCATGCAGTTGCATAACATCTTACTGCAAATAATTTTAAACAAGACATGTTGTACGACTCTCAATCTTTTAACTGAGCTGCCAAACAAAGATATTAAACTTTGGAGCAACTTAAAAGATGGAATCAGCAGCACTTAAGCACTCAACCTACACCTGAATCCAATATGCATATTTAACTCGGGGGAAGCTGCCAGGTGGCAGTAAATACAGTAGAAACAATGTACTCCGTGGTTCTTGATGATCCATACCTGGCTCTTGACTCAAATGTCGGTCTTTCTCAACTGTCTATTTTGCACAATGATTTCCCTCACTTTTTTAATTTTGACCAGTATTATTAGAGAGGAAATAGAAGAATGGAAGATCAAAATGATGAAAATAGTAGTATATAAGGAAAAAAAATGGTGTATGAAGACATGAAGAAGGTTGAAAATACTCAACATAAATTCTAACTGCAATGATCGACAGGAGATGATTTAATCCACATGACTTTCCATTACACCTTTGTGACTAATATTTTCTTGATAATATCCATTGGAGTTTCCAGCATTCCCATGCTTGGCTACCTCATTTCCGTTGCTCAAGGATGAGGGACCTGTATATACATGGTAATTAGATGTTTACAACTTGACATTTGACCATTCAATTCTTTATTGTATTAGTCCACATCAATATTGTGATCAGCTTCTATACTACATCAATGAATGTGCCGATATTATCCAGTGCTTGAATAAGAATTTGTGCTACTCCAGAAGGTAGTTCAATTGAACATCCTTTCTTCAGGTTCCGGAAGCTGCAGTAGCTAATCATTTTAGTACTGTGCTGCTCAATAACTATAACAGCCAATCTATTCTACAGAACCACTTGCACCGCACCATTTGGGGTTTGCATGTGGGATTGCATGTGGGATTCTATGGGCAATTTTGTACAAAGCATGATAAATATTGCTATCTGAATATGCTTCATTGCTCATCACATATCAGATGACATCTTCTGATTGCTTGCTTGACTTCAGTGTTGGTTGAAGAAACAAAAGGATGTCCTATTTCCTGCTTTACAAGAGACTGGGGAAAATGTTATCTGGACTTCTAGGCTTATTTTTGGAAAAGGAGAGGTATTTGTTCTTTTCCCCCCTATTTTCTTTGTGTTCAATTGCGCATTGCCATCATTCAGTTTTAGAATAGGAAAATGTTATCTGGACTTCTAGGCTTAATGAAACTGTCTGTTATATCCTCCTCAGAATCCTAAAACAGCCATGGATGAATCATGTTGGGAAGTTAGTGGACGTTATCGTTCCAAAGGCTTAAAAACCGTTGCAATGGCTTAAAAACCGCTTACCTTTTAAAACCGTTGCGTTAGATGCAGGGGCAACGGTTTAAAAAACCGTCGCAATAGAGTTCAAAACCGTTACGGTAGAGGTAAGGCAACGGCAGCATATGAGGCGGTTTGAGAACCGTCGCACTTGCTCAAGGGCGACGGTTCCATGGCTAGCGCAACGGTTTTGAACCGTTGCGTTAGAGCAAATATGTGGTAGTGAAGCTAGAAATGGTAGAATATGGATTCTCTGGGATAATGATATCTTGGCAGTCCAAAATGTTATATTTTCAGAACAATGTATTACATGCACTATTGAATCCAGAGATGGAAGGTTTTCTAGTCTATGCACTATAGTATATGCTTCAAACCATTTGACTAGCAGGAAAAATCTATGGAGGGATTTACTTACCTTAAAGCAAAGTGTTAACAGTCCATGGATTATTGGTGGAGATTTCAATGCTATTGCAAGTTGTGAAGAGAAAATTGGAGGGTTGCCAGTTACAGAAACTGACATAGAGGACTTTCAAAGTTTTATTAACACTGGTCAGCTGTTGCATTTAAGATCTACTGGTTGTTACTATACTTGGTGTAACAAATAAGAGGCTGAAAGCAGAATCTGGTCTAGACTGGATAGGTGCTTGGTAAATGAGAACTGGATCCACTCATACACCTCAAGTCAGGTGGAATATCTCATGCCAAATTGCTCTGACCACTCTCCGGCTTTAATAACCATTGAAGATGATATTTCTGAGGGGAAAAGGCCATTCAAGTTCTTCAATATGTGGGTGAAACATCCAGATTTTATCTCAACAGTGCATTCTATATGGGATCAAAGCAGTGAAGGCTACAATATGTTCAGATTTCATAGTAAGCTCAAAAAGCTTAAACATGCTCTTAAAGAGCTAAATAAAAATCACTTCAAAATATAAGTGAACAAGTATGTAGAGCAAAGGAAGAGTTAGCAGATATTCAAAGGCAATTAACTGATGATCTTTTCAACTCAGATTTGATTGCAAAGGAAAAAGAATGCATCAAAAAATATGACAGATTGATTGATTGTGAATCTTCTTATTTCAAACAGAAAGCTAACATTAACTGGAGCTTGCAAGGGGATAAGGGATCAAGGTTTTTTTATTCTATTATGAAGAAGAAAAGGCACCTTAACAGAATTTTGACTCTATACACTGACAATGGGTCTAGAATCAGTGACAGATCTGAAATTATTACAAAAATCATTAATTATTACAAAAAGATTTTGGGTACTTCTGTTCCTACTGCAACTCCTGATCCAGAAGTGATAGCAAATGGTCCTCTTCTCTCATCTGAACAGAGGCAAATGCTCAGTCTTCCAGTAACAAGAGAGGAAATTAAACAAGCAGTATTTTCTATGTCTAATGACAAAAGTCCTGGTCCAGATGGTTACAGTGCTCACTTCTTCAAGGCATCTTGGAATGTTATAAAAGATGATCTTTATGCAGCTGTGGAGGAATTCTTTAGCTCTGGGAAGCTGCTTGGTGCTGTCAACTCTACCTCCATCACATTGATCCCAAAAATCCTTAATCCTCAGTATGCTGCAGATTACAGGCCAATATCATGCTACCTCCATCACATTGATCCCAAAAATCCTTAATCCTCAGTATGCTGCAGATTACAGGCCAATATCATGCTGCAATTGTATCTACAAGATCCCTTAATCCTCAGTATGCTGCAGATTACAGGCCAATATCATGCTGCAATTGTATCTACAAGATCATCACTAAAATCATTGCATCCAGAATTCGAAAGGTAATGGGATTCTTGATAAGTGAAGCTCAGAGTGCTTTTGTTAAAGGTAGACTAATTTCTAGCAATATTCTTCTAGCTCATGAAATAGTCAAACACTATGGTAGAAAGCACATTTCCCCTAGAGCTGTTCTGAATATTGATCTTAGAAAAGCATTTGATACCATTAATTGGGGTTTTATAAGAGCTATGTTGAAAGGATTAGGATTCCCTGATATTATGATTGCCTGGATTATGGAATGCATTTCCACACCTAAGTTTTCCGTATCCATTAATGGAGTTCTTCATGGCTACTTTCAAGGAGCTAGAGGATTAAGGCAAGGTGACCTCATTTCTCCATATTTGTTTGTTATTGGGATGGAATACTTGTCTCGCAAGCTAAACACTCTTAAGAATGATAGATTGTTTAAATTTCATCCCAAGTGTTCAAGATTGAAGCTGTCACATTTAATCTTTGCGGATGATCTCCTCTTGTTTAGTAAAGCAGATATGTACTCAATATCAAGATTAAGGGACTGCCTAATGGAGTTTAGTCATGTCTCTGGTTTGAATCCTAATCCCTCTAAGTGTTCAATTTTTATGAGTGGGATTGAAGATAGCCTGAAAAACCAGATATGTGGCTGTCTTAATTTTTCAGAGGGGATATTGCCTATTAAATATCTGGGGATGCCACTTATTTCAAAAAGGCTTTCATGGCTTGATTGCTCTCCTCTCATCAACAATATATCAGATCAGTTTCAAAATTGGCAAAATACTAGGACTTTGTCCTATGCTGGGAGATTGCAAATGATAAAATCTGTCATTTTTGGTATTCAAATTTTCTGGACAAGTAACTTTATACTTCCTGTTAAGGTGCTTGAAAGGATTGATAGCATGTGTTCTAGCTTCCTTTGGGGTCACAAAATCCACTTGGTATCTTGGAGCTCTGTTTGTCAAGACATAAAACATAGTGGCTTGGGTTTATTCTCAGCTAAGTTCTGGAATTATGCAACAGTAGCTAAACTACTTTGGATGATACACCTTAAAAAGGATATTCTTTGGATTAAGTGGGTGCACGGCACATATCTGAGACAAACAAGTATCTGGCAGATACAGTCTAAAAATTGTGACTCATGGATGTGGAAACAGCTCCTAAAAGCTAGAAACATGATGAGGGAAAAGATGGGAAGTGTTGATAATCTTCTGAATGCAATTAATAGTTGCTGTGTAAACAATAATATCAGCATTTCATTGATCTACAAGGTTCTTTTTCAGCAGCAGGTTGTTTTGTTTGAAGGATCAGGGACTATATGGGGGGGGGGGTGGCATTACCCCAAACATTCATTTATCTTGTGGTTAGCTTCTTTCTCCAGGTTACTCACACAAGAGAGACTACGCAAAATGAGAGTGTTAAGCTCAAATCAGTGTATATTGTGCTCGAGAGATGGCCAAGCAGAAACCTGTCAGCATATCTTCTTTGATTGTCAATATTCTGTGTATGTTTGGAGAAAAGTAATGGAATGGCTGAAATTCAACTGGCAATCATGTAGTTGGAACCAGATTTTCAACTGGTACAATAGGAATTTGAGGGGAAAAGGCTTCAAAAAGAAATTGAAGAGAATTGCACTGTCAGTATCTGTTTATCTGCTATGGCAAGAGAGAAATCAAAGGCTTTTTCAGCAGAAAGCTAGAGGGCCTGATCAGCTATTCCGTGCGGTGAAGTTATGTATATACACAAAGATTTTGAATGAAAATATACCACATCATATGAAAGATTTCATTGAGAATTTGTAAAGGAGTGTTGACTGGGTTTATATAACCAGTCTCTAGTTTTCTTGTAACTGGATGTGCGCATTCATTTCTACATTTGGTGATTTTTTTTGAGAAAAAAAAAACATTAGTGCTCAACCTTACACAGGTCCACGAGTTTCCTAGCCTGTCTTCCATTTGAAACATACATCACAAGACTGCAAAATTTGCAAGAATCGTATTCTCATGAGACCGTATAAAGTTTCAAAAAGAAAAATATGGCGGTGACATGGGGTCAATGCCATAAGAAAACCGTAACCAACAACTTCGCTCAAAATTTTTATTCAGTAACATACAGTCATGCAGAAGCGCATGAGCAAGTTTTTGACTTCCCATCAATATACTTCTTATAGAAATAAAATGATGAAAACATATGTCGATTATCAGAAAGACCTATTGATGTTTGCCTTCCTTTTAATATACATTTTCTATAAAACAAATCGATTACCAGAAGCACCTTTCTGATGTTTTGAAACTTCTCTTCTTCAATCTAGTGATTTGAGAAAAACTTGCAACAGGATTATCTTTAATTACAAATAAATCAATCTCCATTTGAAGGGACAGTGAAAAAATAGAAAACTTTATTCCTTTCCACAAAAAACTAAAAGAATAAAGAAAAATAGTGGAACTAGCCTCACAACATTTCAGTGCACTGGATCTCACAAGAAAAGAAATTTAAAAAAAAACAAAAAACAAAAATGATCAGGATTCTCTCAAACTCTGACTACTTGTTCCTCTTTCATTGTTTCAGTGATCCTTGTTTTCGTCTTCCTCTGTCTCGTCTCCTTTGGGTTCACCCGCGGTCTTGTTCTTCCTCTCCTTAAGAACTTTAAGAAGCCCCTGCAATGCCACATCAGCATCGTCTGTCTTCATCATCTCTTCTGCCACCTCAGCGGGAGTAATATCCACCTCCTTTATCAACCCTTCGATTTCTCCAAATAGCTGATGATCATCAAGGGCATGGTAATTTGAGACTAAAACTCGAAATCCAGTAGGAGTGCAGTAACTCATGTGAATGTGCATATCCATCCGTCCAGGTCTCAACAATGCTGGATCAAGCTTGTCCTTGTAGTTTGTCGTGAAAACAATTATTCGCTCACCGCCACAGCTCGACCATAGGCCATCAACAAAGTTGAGCAGTCCTGAGAGTGTCACCTATATGTCTAAGAACATAAGCAATTTTTCATGACACACATACAGGAGATTACTGGGTATTATCGGTCCTTCAAATCTTTATTTTCTGGATATTAGTCCTACGAATGGTTGATATTGTTGGTTTCGGTTGCCACAAAGTGGTCCAATAACTTCCCATCATCAAGAGAAATGGTTATGACTTAACCAACCACTTTGCCCACTAATTCCATTTATTGCTCTTTGATGGAGAGAGTAGAAAATGAGTATATATATATTTTCGGGTCCCTATACCTGCTCTTCAATTTTTGAAAGAAAAATACATCATCGTTTAGTGAAGAGATAAGGTTTAGAAGATCTTCGAAATCAACATCCATATCCTTGAGTAAGACGACGATGGTTTAGTGAAGAGATAAGGTTTAGAAGATCTTCGAAATCAACATCCATATCCTTGAGTAAGACGACGATGGCTGGAGGTTAGTTTAATTAATTCGAGATCTTCGAAATCAACATCCATATCCTTGAGTAAGACGACGATGGCTGGAGGTTAGTTTAATTAATTCGTGCTTCCGTTTGATATAGATTATATTTTTCAGTTTCTAAACATGTTTAAATCAAGTATTTGAATTTTTATCATGTTTAGATAACATTTAGTAATTTAAATTTATTATCATTTGGTATCAGAGCCAGGTTGTAGAACTTATGATTTTCCATTTTTCTTAATTAATTGCTCATCGTGAAAATCATTTGTTCTAAGATCTTGGTATAATGATAATCAAATTAATAATTAAGTTTAATTTAATTTGCTTAAGAATTAGGAGTTAACATGTTCGAAACTGTAAAATTCGGATCTGTTCATTCAATATGTATACATATTTTGAGTGTACTAAATATTTTAGGGCAATAGCCTAGTGGTAAGGCTTGAGGATTTGGCCTAGAGGTTTGGTGTTCAAACCCCTAGGGCTACACCATATATTATAAGTCTTTGATGGGCCTTGGGCCTTGGGTCTTTTTGAATTTTAGTAATATTTTTGTTTGCTTTCTTTTTTTTTCTTTTTTTTTTTGTTGCCTACATTACGTATTTGACAATTTTTGGTTAATGTTTATATTCATGCATGTTAGATCCATTGCGTTTATCAAGTGATGTTTCTGTGAATATAATTAAATAACTATTTAATTAACCCATATAGTTTAATTAATTTGGGAGTAGCCACATCATCCTTAATTAATTAAAACTGTATAATAAGGTTTGTTATATCACTTGTTAAGGATCTTATTTAGAAAAGTAAACATTAATTGTGATTAATCGGATGTGATATAATAAATTTTATCCCACAGGAATTTTTATTATATCTGTATAATTAATTAGGATAAAATGTCAAATTATATTTTCTAATTTACCCACAGGGATTAGGAAATGAAGCATAATTTGATAGTTTTATCATGAAGTTAAGATAAATCTAATTGAATTAGAACTTTAGCCCACATGCAAGTTTTATGTCACTAGATTTATATATTTGCATGATTTTACATTGGTAGAACATGTCATATTTTGTTAGCTTCAAATTTAGTAACATGAGCATGATTATTTAATTTACTACAGCAATTCCACCTGCTAATTACTCTGATATGAAATGTGATGTTCCCGAGCTCAAAGGGGACAACTACAAAGTGTGGAAGGAGAGAGTTCTCCTTCATTTGGGATGGATGGACATAGACTATGCCATAAGGAAGATTGAACCCCCTACAGTTACTGAAATCAGCACTTCAGACAAAATTCAGCTTTATGAAAAATGGGAATGATCCAATCGTCTCTGTGTGATGTTCATAAAGACTAAAATTTCTGCTAGTATAAGAGGTTCAGTCGAGCAGGTCGACAAGATCCAAGATTTACTAAAGGCTGTCGATGAGTAGTTCGCCACTTCAGACAAGGCAATGGCGAGCACCCTGATCATACAGTTTTCATCCTTGAGGCTCACCAGCGTAAGGGGTGTGCGTGATCATATCATGCGCATGAGGGATATTGCGGCTCAATTGAAAGTATTGGAGGTAGAGATGTCTGAAGCCTTCCTGGTTCACTACATCCTTCGCACCTTACCTCAGCAATATGGCCCATTTAAGATATCCTACAACACACATAAGAACAAATGGTCGATCAATGAATTGTTGACCATGTGTTCAGGAAGAGGGCAGGCTGCTTATGGAGGAAAAGGAAAAGGAAATTGTGAACTTTACTACCCCTGGGAAGTACAAGAAGAAGGATCAAGCCAAGGACAAGGGGAAAAGGAAACTCCCTCCTCAAAAGGACATTAAGAAAGAGATTGTGTGTTTCTTTTGCAAAAAGAAGGGGCACGTTAAGAAACAATGCTCTAAGTTCATGAAGTGGCTTGATAAGAAAGGTACTCAACTTTCTTTTGTTTGTTATGAATCCAATATGATTGATGTTAATCATAACACATGGTGGATTGATTCTGGTTCTACAATCCATATCACCAATTCATTGCAGGATTTACGAGACCTGCGGAAGCCGATGGGAAGTGAGCACAACGTCTATTCAGGAAATAAGATGCCCTCACATGTGGAGGCCATTGGCACGTGCAGACTGGTTTTAAGTAGTGGTTTTATTTTAAGTTTAGAAAATATGTTTTATATTCCTAGTTTTTCTAGAAATTTAATTTCAGTTTCCAGACTTGTATCAGATGGTTATTCCTTTAACTTTTTAGATTTCGGATTTAATTTGTCTTATAAATCTGATGTTATTGGATGTGGTACTTTGTCTGATGGTTTTTTCTCCTTAATTTGCAAAATGATGAAAACCATACTTCTATGCACGTTCATGAAATTATTGGTACTAAACGATGTGTTGTGAATGAAGAGTCTTCTATACTGTGGCATCGGAGATTGGGACATATCTCCATTGATAGAATTAAAAGGTTAGTAAATGATGGGGTACTTGGTACTTTGGATTTTACTGACTTTGAGACTTGTATAAGTTACATTAAGGGTAAGCAGACTAACAAGTCCAAGAAAGGTGCCAAAAGAAGTTCTGAATTATTGGAAATCATACACACTGACATTTGTTGTCCAGACATGGATGCATACCGTGATAAGTACTTCATCTCTTTCATAGATGATTACTCGCGATACATGTATATCTACTTGCTTAACAGTAAGAATGAAGCACTAGATGCTTTTAAGGTGTTTAAAGCAGAAGTAAAGAAACAATGTAGCAAACAAATTAAGATCGTGAGATCCGATAGAGGTGGAGAATACTATGGTAGATACACTGAGAGTGGCCATGCAAATGGTCCATTTGCGAGGTTTCTTAGTGAAAATGGGATTGTTGCCCAATATACTTTGCCTGGCTCTCCGGACCAAAATGGAGTAGCTGGAAAAAAAACCCGAACATTATTGGACATGGTGCATAGTATGCTTGCTAGCTCCAAACTTCCTAAATCCTTGTGGACTGAAGCTCTTAAGACGACTGTGTACATATTAAACCGAGTTCCAACCAAGGTTGTCTCAAAGACTCCTTTTGAGTTATTCAAAGGTTGGAAACCAAGTTTACGACATGTATGCGTTTGGGGATGTCCATCCGAAGTAAGAGTCTACAATTCACAAGAAAAGAAGTTGGACCCAAGGATCATAAGTGGGTATTTCGTTGGATATGCTGAAAGGTCTAAGGGATACAGATTTTACTGTTCATCTCATAGCACTAGGTTTGTGGAATCAAGAAATGCTAAATTTCTTAAAAATGACTTGATTAGTAGGAGCGATCGATCTCAGGACGTTGGTCTTGAGAAAGATCATTTAGATGCTCAGTGTGCCCCTTCAAGCAACGGACTGATCGTTATTGTTAACAACACGCCTATAGTACAAACGCGTGTTGAAGAACCAGTTCACGAAATACCATAAGCCGATGATCCTGATTTAGTAGATGTTGAAGTTCAACAAATACCTGAAGCTGTTGAACAACCAGCTGAACAACATGATCCTGATCCTCAAGAAAATGTTGATGTAGCATTAAGAAGATCTACTAGAGTAAGAAAATCGGCAATTCCTAGTGACTATGTCGTGTATCTACAAGAGTCTGACTATAATGTTGGAGCCGAAAATGATCCTGAGACGTTTTCACAAGCCATGAGTTATGAGATTTCAAACTTATGGTACAATGCCATGAAGGATGAGATGGATTCTATGGCATCAAACCGAGTATGGGATCTCGTCAAGTTGCCTAATGGTATGAAAGCCATTGGATGTAAATGGGTTTTCAAAACAAAGAAAGACTCACAATGCAATATTGAGAGATATAAGGCCAGACTCGTTGCCAAAGGATTCACTCAAAGAGAGGGAATCGACTACACGGAGACATTTTCTCCTGTATCTAAGAAAGATTCTCTTCGAGTCATTATGGCATTGGTTGCCCATTTTAATTTGGATTTGCATCAAATGGATGTGAAAACGGCATTTCTTAATGGTGACCTAGAGGAAGAAATTTATATGAAGCAACCTGAAGGTTTCTCCTCTAGTAATGGTGAGCACTTAGTCTGTAAGCTTAATAAGTCCATATATGGATTAAAGCAAGCTTCTCGTCAATGGTATTTAAAATTCCATGATGTTATCACTTCATTTTGTTTTGAAGAGAACGTCATGGATCAATGTATATACCAGAAGGTCAGTGGGAGCAAGTTTTGCTTTCTTGTGCTATATGTGGATGATATTTTGCTTGCGGCAAATGATAAAAGTTTGCTATATGAGGTGAAACAGTTCCTCTCGAAGAACTTTGATATGAAAGATATGGGTGAGGCATCTTATGTCATTGGCATTAAAATCCATAGGGAAAGGTCTCGAGGGATTTTGGGTTTGTCTCAAGAGACCTATATCAAAAAGGTTTTAGAGAGATTTCGGATGAAGGATTGTTCACCGAGTGTAGCACCTATTGTGAAGGGTGACAAATTCAGCCTAAATCAATACCCTAAAAATGAGCTCGAGCAGGAACAAATGAAAAACATTTCATATGCTTCAGCCGTTGGAAGCCTAATGTATGCTCAGGTCTGTACAAGACCTGATATAGCATTTGCTGTTGGAATACTAGGAAGATATCAGAGTAACACAGGTATTGACCACTGGAGAGCTGCAAAGAAGGTGATGAGATACCTTCAAGGGACAAAGGATTACATGCTCATGTATAGACGGACCGACGATTTGGAGTTGGTTGGTTACTCTGATGCGGATTTTGCTGACTGTGTTGATTCACGCAAATCAACATCAGCATACATTTTCATGCTTGCCGGTGGAGCCGTGTCTTGGAAAAGTGCAAAGCAAACTTTGACTGCTACTTCCACTATGGAGGCCGAGTTCGTATCATGTTTTGAGGCTACGTCACATGGTGTATGGTTGAAGAGTTTCGTGTCGGGGCTTAGAATTGTGGATTCAATTTCTAGGCCAATAAGATTGTATTGTGACAACTCAGCTGCTGTTTTTATGGCTAAGAATAACAAGAGTGGTAGTCGTAGTAAGCATATCGACATCAAATACTTGGCCATTAGAGAATGTGTTAAGGAAAGAAAGTGGTCATTGAGCACCTTAGCACTGAGTTGATGATTGCTGATCCTTTGACTAAAGGCATGCCACCAAAGAATTTCAAGGATCATGTAGTAAGAATGTGACTTGGTTCCATGATGTAAATATTCATTGTACGTACATTTGATATTTTGTTGAAACTTTTATTCAGTTGATATTTCTCATTTGTTTTTGTGCACATACATATTTGTTTATTTTATTGAGAAATATCATTAAAGTTTGGACCTCGAATAAACATAGGATTTATTCATTAAGTCATTTGGGATTGAGAGACACGATACATTGTGATACATGGAAGATACTACTCAACATTAGAGAACCTATCGCCATGATTTATGTATTTTGTTTTTCATTAAGGTGGATGATGGAATGTTTGGACCAAGTGGGAGAATGTTGGTTTCGGTTGCCACAAAGTGGTCCAATAACTTCCCATCATCAAGAGAGTTGGTTATGACTTAACCAACCACTTTGGCCACTAATTCCATTTATTGCTCTTTGATGGAGAGAGTAGAAAAGGAGTATATATATATTTTCGGGTCCCTATACCTGCTCTTCAATTTTTGAAAGAAAAATACACCATCATTTAGTGAAGAGATAAGGTTTAGAAGATCTTCGAAATCAACATCCATATCCTTGAGTAAGACGACGATGGCTGGAGGTTAGTTTAATTAATTCTTGCTTCCGTTTGATATAGATTATATTTTTCAGTTTCTAAACATGTTTAAATCAAGTATTTGAATTTCTACCATGTTTAGATAACATTTAGTAATTTAAATTTATTATCAGATAGATCAAAGGACCCTGCCACTACACCAGAAATCTGAAGTTGTGGTTAGGATTGAGAGTTACAATTTCATACTTTAACATGTCCCTGCATGTTGAGCGAATTTTTTATGAACCGAAACTTGGACTCACACAACAATATCCATCTCTTTATAATCCAGACTAAATTTGTGGCTAGTGAGATTTGAACATGGGTTGCTATCGTGTCAAAGGACCTTGCCGTACCAAAACTTGGCAACGATTGAGGGTTAAGTTTATATTCTTTAACAGTTGAAGTTGCTATTTGATGGTTCAATTTCTATAAATCGCCCCAAATTGTCATCCTACGTGACTGTCTTCTCAAATTTTCAGAATATGCCATTGATCATTCAGTTTAACATTTTGAGTTGAAAATTCAGTTATGCCCTTCTAACTCAACTTAATTAATTAATCTACTACCTAAACTCCTATCCAGACCCAACCCCCTTCCTAAACTATCCTTTAACATTCTCAATTGTACTCAGACCCATAACTGATTCCAAATTTTCCCTTTTCTGCTCGTGGGAGGGAAGATGGATTTGGTTGCCTAACTAAACTAAACTATGTCTTGCAAGGTTTTAATATCAGATATTGGAAGAAATATCAGACAACCAAAAATCCACATCGGATTACAGATATCTGCAAACTATCAAGGATGTGCAGTAAACGTCGAA